TTGGCGCAGGCAGATTTTGTGAAAGCGTCTTTCATGCATTCTAAAAGTGGTAAAGAATGTGCCAAATTCACAAACCTGTCTAGAATTTATACTTGGATTTGGCTCATGCTGCACCACTTGTATCTGAAACACTTTCAAAATGTCTGTCTGAGCCATTTTTTCTCTCTGTATGCCAAAAGAGAGTTGGTCCTAATTAGCTCCACTTTTACATTTGGCACATTTAATGCAAGATAATGTAAGAGTGGCACATTTTAAAACTGAATTTGGTGCACGGGTTGCTGTCAGAACCAAAAGTGTTGCAAATGCTTCATGAAATTAGCACAATACATTAGCAAGGGGGATTAACGCCAGAAAAGTGGCAATTCACCCCATAGTGAAGAATGTACTAAATTTGACTGCAAAAGTGGAAATACACATTAAGCATTACATTTTTTCATATTACTAAAATTAAAGGGGTAAATATTGTATTCGTTTTCTTTTCACATATATAATTTATTTTTGTTTGTATTTTATTGCTATACCATGATCAGGGGCGGACTGACAACTCATGGGGCCCCCGGGCAATAGGGAATCATGGGGCCCCTGTGTCCTCACCCACACTCAAACCACACCCAAAAAAAGCCTATGAAAGGTGTCAGTGACATCTCATGGGGCCCCCTACTGATGCCGGGCCCTCGGGCAGTGCCCAAGTTCCCAAATGGTCAGTCCGTCCCTGACCATGATTATTATTATACAGTATTTATATAGCGCTAAAAGGTTTGCTCAGCGCTGTACATTATAGTGGGGGGCAGAACATGAGACAATACAGTAACAAAACACGAGGGGGTCAAGGGCCCTGCTCTTTCGAGCTTACAATCTAGGAGGGAGGGGATAGTGGTACAGGTGGAAGTGGCTGTGGGGGATGGAGTGGTAGGAGGAGTGGAGGAGATCAGCTGTTAGGTGAGGGCGGGGTAGGCTTACCTGAAGAATGGGTTTTCAGGGTGCGCCTAAAGGTGAGGAGGACAGTCTGATGGATTGGGGTAGGGAGTTCCAGAGGATGTGTGAAGTCCTATGATGAGAGTTGTGAAGCTGAAATGCCCAGGCCAAGTTAAGCAGGGTCGATATGCGATATGCATTAGTTAAAGCGTTCTAAAGCCTGATGGTTTTTTTTTAACCGTAATGCATTCTCTGCATTCAGGTAAAAAAAACCCTATGTGCAGCCTCCCCCCTCCCATTGGCTCCCACTGCTGTCAATCACAGCCAATGAAGAGGGAGCAGGGGGAGGGGCTGAGTCACACTCTGTGTTAATGGAACACAGCATTGCTCAGGAGTGAGCCCACACAAGTGCCCCCACAGTAAGCAAGCGGGGAGTATTTGGCAGAGGGGAGGATTCAAGAGCACTGTTGGGGGGATTCGAGAACAGGAGATTCAGGGATGCTCTGTGCAAAGCCATTGCACAAAGCAGGTAAGTATAACATGTTTTTTTTTTAGTAAAACATTTAGGTTTACAATTGTTTACACTTGACAACAACTCTGAATAATTTTTTCAGTTTGACATTGGGCTTGAGAACTAGGAAAACATGTAGTTGCACATTAGTAGTTCTATGTCTATGTGTTATACTCCTTATGTATTCCAGCAGTTCGCCTGCAGATTTCAGATCAGATAATTCAGGTTTCTTTATCCATGCCTTTATATGTCAGTGATGGTAAACCAGTATCTTTCAGATGTAAACAGCTATAGAATATTGTGATATTGTGAATGACTGGAATACACATGGAACATGTATAGCATATAAAACAGTTTAAAGGTTTGTAATGTCAACATTATTTTATAAGATAAACATAGATTTATTTTTTCACTCAAACATCTTTATAGTAATCCATAAACTACTTGCAGATAGAGTACTGTTTTAAAATGCCAAGGATAACAAAGTATACAGAGAGCAAACAGCTGTATGAAGTAACGCATTAAGAAGATTATAGGGTTTAAAAGCTCTGTGGGTAGCAAAATATTGCGATTCTATCTTGATTTCCTTGTCAGAAGTAATTAGAGGAATATATGAATGGGTTAGCATTCATATTTTGTTGTCAATCTTTACCAAGCTGTGAACAGCCTAAAGATTTCAAGGATCACTTACTCTATAGCTCATTGAGAAAGGGCCCCAGGCAAACCGAGTGCAGTTGTTTGACTAAAAGTATATGTTATGTTATCAATTTTATATTCAAATTATTTCAATTGTTTGCAATACCTTTACTAGTACTACGCAAAGCAATAGGTTTCAATAGATGAACAATGTTCCTAAAAAGGTACTGCATGTCTAAAAAACCAAATTACAACATATTATTATTATTATTCATTTTTTCTTTATCTGTGCATTCAAAACATTTTACAGCACACAGCCCCTACTTTTATAGAAATGGATAGTGTTGATTAGAAAACTTTGGGATTGACTAACTAAAAGCAAATAGACTCTGCACTTTGCAAGTGCAGTTGCATTCTGCAAGGGAGTTTGTTGTAGAGCTTAATCAATAAGTGAAGTGAACTTCTGCGCCTACTAAATAATATGCAAAATAATAAATACAATAATCAATTTCCATGAATGCTGCTGCTAACATCAATTGTGTTCCCAGAATATAAACAAATAAATAGATACAGTGATATAGCCCCTGATAAAGTCACATGACGGTGACGCAATGCGTCGGGCATGGGCAGAGGCAGATTAAGGAAGTAAAAAGATTGATTTCTTATCTGTAAAGTGCGTCTAATTTTAACTGAATGTAAGTACGATTTTAATAAATATTGAATCTTTTACTAATCTACTACACTATATGAGGCGTACTTTCTTTTGGGTGAGGTTACTGGTATCCAGTAAACGGAGGATCTCTAATACTACCTTAAGAATCCAGCATGGGAGGAGGAGTGGACAGCCCCTAGTGGCTAAAGGAGATAGTGATCTACCGTGGAGATGTCTCATTAAAAACACTCCGTTTTTTACATGAGTTGGAGATGAGAGTTCTGAGAGCACAGAAGTGGCACCAATTTATGCATGAAATTCACATTTATCATGGATTTGCATCAATGGTGTTGGATCGTGTTATAGTTGGAAAGATATGAACTTATACACAAATTAATTTGAAGCACTCTAGCATTCATTTATATCTACATATATTTCTTTGTATTAATGAATGATATCTGTATTAATTTATTTATTCACTTTATTTCTATGAGCACAGTGCATTCACTTTGGTTATCTATTACAACAGATTGATGTTTATTAGCAGCGCTACATCACTGTATCTATTTATTTTGTTTTAGAACTTAGTAGATGAGATAAAACTTCACTTTGCAAAGAATATCCAATCACATGTAAGGATAACAAAAAAACAGCATTTGTGTTTGCACATGATTTAATAATGGAAGTCAGTAGAGCTTCCTCTCATTTGCTATGCTCTGGCAAATTCCTTTGCAGAGTACAACTATCCTTGCAAAGTGCACAGACTAATAGCCCTTAGTAAATCAACCCCATAAGGTTAGTGTGTATTATATCCCATATTCATGTGAACATCATAGTCAGAAAATTTTTGAGTTTTTTTTATTGCATGTATTTGTAGCGCTTTACAGTCCAATTGAGCTTTTAATTTAAATGAGCTAAACATGTTTCAAGTGTATTAAAACAAAAGCTTAACAATTTGATTTCTTTAGAAAGCAGCCACTGCTGGAGTAGAAAAGTCTGTATCCTGACAGCATGCTCTGGGGAAGAACTCTGTGTGAAAGCAAAGGTTTCTCTGCAGAAGACTGATACACTCCTTTCTGAATTAGAGCTGGAGCTCTCTAATCAACAGGTGGAATGAGCTAATAGATACAGTTTTTATAGTTCTTATTAATTTAATAAATTTGTAAATTAATTGTGTTACCTCTGAAGTTGGAGAGCCAATGTGATTTCGAAGGACTGGGCCACAATTCTGCAAAAGAGATCTCTAATTTAGATTCCCCTGTCAAAGACAAAGAGAGAGGGCACTCTATTAAGATAGAAGTCTTCCCTGGTGAAGACTGATGCTAGGTCGAGGGTAGAAGGTAGGCCAGGGAGGGGAGTCAGGTGAGGCATTTTGGGAAATCGGTACACCCAAAAGGTGGTGGAGCTAGCAGAAGATGGAAGACTGGTGACCAAACCCATGGATATACAGCACCACAGGTATACTGAGCATAGTGCTACCCTTATATTTCCATAATTAACAAATCAGTGACAAAGTTATTAAAATTAAAATTGCATGTGTGTGATGGACAGAGGAGGTTGGTGAGACACATATCATATAACCCCACCAGAACACACAGCTATAGAGAGAGAAATGCATGAAAATCCTGGCCATAAAACTGTACTTGGAATCTGGAAAACCCCTTATTGCAGCTTATTATAGATAGTCTGGAGGAACTGATGAAGTCTGATGAATAATGAGTCTGAGGAATTAAGAAATGACAGTCTATCATAATGGTATTAGTGACCTATAGGAACATATAGATGAGCTGTCCAGAGATATGTTTCAAGCAATTTCTACAACTAATACCATGATGGTGCTCCCTTAACCACTTGCCAACCACGCTATAGCTGAATGACGGCTACAGCATGGTTGTCCAGTTCTGGGAGGACGTCATATGATGTCCTCCCAGAATGCGCCATCCCTCGCGCCCTCAGGGGCGTGCACCCGGCGAACTCCGTGGTCGCTGGGTCCTACTGGCACAGCTGATAACATGATGTGGTAAAAGGCCAATCACAGCGGCCCTTTACCACATGACCAGCCATGTCCAATGACACAGCAGATCACTGGTAAATGATGTTGCCGGTTATTGGCTGCACTTTCCTCACGCTGTCACAGCGTGAGGAAAGTACTGCCGATAACCGGCAATTGTCAGAGGATGGATCGGCAGCGATCATCAGTGCCCTGATCATCAGTGCCCAGAGTGCCACCCACCAGTCCCGCCCAGCAGTGCCGCCTACAAGTGCCCAGTAGTGCCACCCACCTGTGCCCATCAGTGCCAGCCACCTGTGCCCATCAGTGCCATCCACCTGTGCTCATCAGTTCCAAGTAGTGCCACCCACCTGTGTCTATCAGTGCCACCCACCAGTGCCCAGCAGTGCCCCCCATCAGTGCCCCCCATCAGTGCTGCCCAGCAGCGCCACCCAGCAGTGTTGCCAGTCAGTGCCCAGCAGTGTCGGCAGTCAGTGCCACCATCCGTGCCCATCAGTGCTGCCCATCAGTGCCACCTATCAGTGTCCATCAATCAGTCCACCTATCAGTGCCCATTAGAGACGCCTATCAGTGTCCATCATTGTTGCATATCAGTGCTGCCTCATCAGTGCTAGCTCATCAGTGCCACCTATCAGTGCCACCTATCAGTGCCCATCAGTGCTGCCTGATCCATGCCACCTCATCAGTGCTGCCTATCAGTGCCCATCAGTGCTGTCTATTAATGCCCATCAGTGCTGCCTATCAGTGCCCATCAGTGCTGCCTATCAGTGCAGCCTCATCAATGCACATCAGTGAAGGAGAAAAATTACCTGTTTGCAAAATGTTATAATAGAAAGAAAGAAAACTTTTTTTACTGTTTTTTTTTTATAGCACAAAAAATAACACACCCAGTGGCAATTAAATACCACCAAAAGAAAGCTCTATTTGTGTGAAAAAAATGATAAAAATGTAATATGGGTACAGTGTTGCATAACCGCGCAATTGTCATTTAAAGTGTAACAGTGCTGAAAGCTGAAAATTGGCCTGGGCATGAAGGGAGTATAAGTGCCCGGTAGGCAAGTGGTTAATAATGAGTGTCAACCTCAATGAATAAGAAAGTAATGACTGGTTAGGTACAAATTGCCCTGCATTACTAGAACAAGAAAGCAGATGGGGCACATTATTCCTTCTGAGGAAGCCCCTGATAACATTAATATCATGTTTAATGTCAATGAAATGGTGATTTCAGTCAGTTCATTTTCATTCTGTTGGATGTTTTTTGGGGCTTTAAAACATGGTCAGTTGAAAATATTGATAGAGCTGAAAAATTGTTATTATAGGAAGTCCCATCTCTGCTGAAATCATAAACACTTCAGCACTCCTACTCTCAGCTCTGTTGGTTGGTGAGGATTGGCTCAGTGACACTCTCTAGAGGAGACACAAAAATCTGCTGCAATTGACAGCTTATGGTTCTCAATTTAACTTTGTAACATTTGACAAAAAAATGCTGAGAATCATTTTAAGGACAGCTTCTGCTGCAGGGAATTGGAACCAAAGGCCACGCAAACCTTATTAAGTACTTTTTACTTTTAATCCTATTTATGTTACAGTTGCTATTGTCTGTTTTTTTTTGTAATATATATTTGTAATATCTATTTTCTGTTTTTTAAATTTTGTTTTGCACCACCCTTCGAACCCTACATTTCCATAACTATGAACACTGCCACTACATTCAGAAGACTTTATTCTGCCCAGATAACACTCTGTACCATCTCCCATCCTCAGGATGAAGAAAGTAGTTTGCATTTTAATGCCTGAGAGTTCTCCATGGTGGTGTACTGCTTTTTGAGTTCCTTCTCTCTGTGGTTGTATTTATCTCCCACACTTGCTGTTCCCAAGGGCTGCGTCTCCCATTATGTTACCTTCTTGTCTGTAGAGCACATTTCCCAACAGCCATACATGTTACAGTAAATATGGTGTACAGTGTGAGTTTTACTTAAAACTTGTGGTGGTGGCTATAGTTTGTGTATGTAAAGGCTTAATTTTAGAGTTAGCTGACCCCAGTGACAATCACTCTCAGGCTGCTTTTTGAGCACACCTGAGTCTATTGAATAGTTCTGAAATAAGATGCAGAGTATATCAACTTTTTTTGCATTAAGACTACTTTGACCCCATTCTATATGGAAATGTGTGGTGTCAAAATTTCAAAGTCTCCAACCTGCAACCCATCAATGCAAAAACATATATAAACAAAGCTGCTAGGAAGCAGGACCCTAAAAGAATCCTGCACCTGTAAATAAATTACAGGATAGGGGGTGTGTCCGGCCAGCTCCCTGCATGGTCACTCCATAGCAGGGCTCCTCAGCCACCTCAGCTACAGCAGTGGCTATACACTGACCAGCGGGACACCATCACCCTACCACACAGGTTATAGTGCCCTGCTCCCTGAGGTGAAATGCCCTGGCAACGAAAAGCACCCACTCAGCCACGAAGATTGATGGATTTTTATCTGGCCCGGGACTCCAGGATCCAAAATGGTGCCAGTGGCCTGCAGAGCAGTCCCTTTGCTCCTAAAGAGGAACAGACAGCATACATGATGCCTCTCTATGAAGGGGATCTGGGTGAATCTTCTCCCATATTTGAGGAACCTACATGCACTACAACACATGCGCCTGATATCTCCTTTGCTCTTACATTACAGCTACAATCAGCCATACTGTAAAAGCATTCTCTGCATCTGACCAACCAGTATCAGAACTAGCTCTGAAAAATATGCTTCTCTCACTAAGACAAACCAGAGATCAGAAAAAAGCTGATCTCCATCACCAAAGCTCTACACAATAATGGCATAGGATATCAATGGGGTTTCTTCACTAAACTCATAATTAAACGGCAGGGTAAACCTTTTACAATCAGAAATCTAAAGTACGGCATTGATCTCCTCAAAGAATGGAATATCCTACCTGTAGAAGATCACCACGCACATTAAATCACCCTCACCACATGGAAGGGGACTGGACCTAATCGCGGCCTAATGCCTTGTCGGTTTCCCCGCGTGAAATCTTCTTAATACCTGTTGCTGAAAGGCCTCAGAATAACCTTCATAATCCCCAGAATTATATCGTCACGTCAACATGGCACCCTGTTATTGCCATGGTTCCTACACTACCCCTGTTCAACAGTAGCTACCTTCTTCTTGTATTTTTAGCAAGATTTTTTTATCTTATCATTATTTCTTTTTTTTATTAATTTAAACATTTATTACATTTTTCATGTTAATACAAAATCCCATAAAGGGGGAAAAATTCTCATACACATAGACATTTATAACATTTCTCCCTTTCCCTTACTAAAATCTCTTTTCTTTCTCATCCCACTACCCCCCCTCTTTCCACCCCTCCTCCCCCCTCCTCCCCCTCTGCAGACTCTAGCTCATTCTACTCTCTTGAGGCTTATTAATTTTTTACTAACATCCAAGTTCATATTTTCCTATATTTTTCTTTCAATCCTGCTCTTTCCCACTTTTCCCATCTCCTAGAATAAACTCTCATCCTATCTTCCTGCATATGGTATGCTTTTCCATTCTACCTATCTGGTTCACTCTATTAATCCAGTCATCCTCTCTCGGTACCTCAGATTTCCGCCAAAACTTGGGTATCAACCCCTTCGCCGCATTCAATAAGTACCATATACCTGAATCTTTATATTTATTTACAGATGTCTCCACATTGTGTAGGAGGCACATCATTGGGTCTAACCCTATGTCGATTTCAGTTATATCTTCAATCAATTTGACTATTATCTTCCAAAAAGCCTGGATTTTCGGACATTCCCACCACATGTGGAACACCGTGCCTCTCTCTCCACATCCTCTCCAGCACAAATTTGAATTTTCACCACTCATCTTGTGCTCTACACTCGGTGTAATGTGCCAACGTGTCACACACTTAATAATTAACCTCAACCTCTCTCATACTAACATTATCGTGTATCAATCTAAACATCTTTCTCTGTCTATCTTCATCGATCCCCACTCCCATATCTCTTTCCCATTTTGTTATAAAGATTAACTTTGTGTTTGTGTCTAATTCTGTGAGTATTCTATACACTTTTGAAACACCGTGCTTTCCATCCCTTCGTGTCTCTAACAACCTTTCAAACATATTCCATTCCTCTTTTAATCTCAGGGTTTCGGTAGATTTCCAATAAAACATTTCAATTGATGATGTTTCCACTCATCTATTCTAAAAAAAATATCTCCCTTCTTCTCTATAAATCTTTTAGTGATCTCAATTCCCCCTCCACCAAAACATCTCTCAGTTGAGTATCCTCCTTTCTAAACCATCTCCCTGATATCTTCATCTTTCCCGGGGGAAAGTACTCAGTGTTTGTGAGAGGCATTAATATAGAATTAAAATCCCATTTCATGCTTTTGTGTAAATTATCCCATACCCTAAAGACATTTAAAGTGTAGATACTTGTGCTTTCTTTAATTCCCCTGAACTGTGGTGGAACCCATATCATCTGACTCAATCTAATGCCACTGAGATCATTTTCAATTGTTACCCAGCTTTTCCCCTTATGGTTAAATGTCCAGTCATATATTCTTGCTAAAACCACTGCTTTATAATATCTCTTGACATCTGGTAGACCCAATCCCCCTTTCTCTTTAGTCCTACTCAATGTTTCATATGCTATTCTAGGTTTTTTATTCTTCCATATGTATCTTGTGTTAATATTTTTTTCATTGTCTTAAAGAAGGCTTCTGGAATTTTAATTGGTACCATTTGAAATCTATACAGTATTTTAGGCAGGATTACCATTTTAAACTAGGTTTTATACGTCCTATCCAGGATGGGTTTCCTCCTTCTAGTCTTTTTAAATCTTCTCTAATCTCATTTATCAAAGAGATATAGTTTAATCCATACAAATGCTTAGGTGAGGCAGTGATTTTTATTCCTAGGTATTTTATCTCTTTTTCTCTCCATATAAAAGGGAATTCTTTTTGTAGTTTTTCTTTTTCATTCTTCGATATATTAATATTCAAGATCTCTGTTTTCGATGGATTAATTTTTAGATTTGATAGTTCACCGTACTCCCTTCAGAATCTTCATTATATTTGGGAGAGTTATTCGGGGATTCCCCACATAGAACAGTAAGTCGTCTCGCAAAGGCCGCAACTCTATGTTCTATGGATTCTATCTGAATTCCCTTTACCGATCCACTATTTCTTATTATTGACAGCAGAGGTTCGAGTGACAATACATATAGCAGAGGGGACAGTGGACCACGAGGCGTCTCCCCTCCGGCTCTCCCCCAGCTCTGGGCCGGCCGCGTCTCTCTAGGCAACCCCACTCCTCTCAGCCGCCGCTGTAATAAGTGTAGGGAGGGAAGACCCTGAGGTGTCTGTCACGCCAGAAAAAAGCTGACCCTCCCAATACTCCGCATAGGATATCCGACCGTCCCACTAAACTCCGCCGGCTCTCTCCGACTCTCTCCTGCAGGTGAGTCACTGCCTTCAGTGCAGCTGACCGCTCTAACGAGGCTTCATAGGAAGGTAAGCGGGGGGGAAGGCTCACGGAGAGTGCTAAGCTACATCTCTCTCCTGTGCCGCCATGTTCAGGCTCCTCCCCTCTCATCTTATCATTATTTCTATGCTTCTTGTTGGTATTACTAGTCTAACCTACTCCTACTATCTCAGATAAATCTC